AAACCCTTGAAATTTCCTGAGTGATAGGACTGTCTGTTATGCTAATGAAGTGCCTCATGGTGGGCTCCTAGATAGCTTCAGGTTGGGGAACGGTCATCCAAAAGACCAAGCACATGATTAGAGGGTTGGAACTTTCAGCCATCCAACCTCTGGGGATGAGAGGGCAGCTGGAGACTGAATTCAATCATGTGGTCAATGAATCAATCATGCCTACGGACTGAAACACTGATAAAAACTCTGGACACTGAGGCTCAGAGGAGCTCTCTGGCTGGTGACACAGTGATGTGCTGAGATGGTGACACACCTGGATTCCATGAGGACACAAAAGCTCTGTGTTCTCCCCCACGGACTTTGCCCTATGTGTCTCTTCATTTGGCTGATCTTCATCTATAGCCTTTATAATAAAACCATTAACTGTAGAACTTTCAGTGAGTGGTTCTAGTGAATTACCCAATCTGATGGGGTAATGGGAAGCCCTCAATCTATAGCCAGTTGGTCAGAAGTACAGGGGGCCCCCAAGACATGCATCTGATGTGGGGAAAGTCTTGTAAAGGACTCTGCCCTTAACTTGTGGGGTGTGCAGTAACAGGATAGTTAGGGTCAGAATTGAACTGAATTGGAGGACACAGTGTGTTATCAGAGGAATTGGTATGAGAACAGACTCCCTTGAATATTCAGCACCACACTGATCAGTGCACACATAGGAGGAAAGTACCTGAGGCCTGAGAAAGAATCACGGAAAAGATTCAATTCAAAAACAAAGAGTAAAAATTAATAAATTAGAAAACATGTAATAGAGAAGATAACAAAACCAAAACTTGGTTCTTTGAAATGATGAATAAAATTGATAAACCTATAGTAAGATTAATGAAGAAAAAAAGAAGGCCCCCAAAACCAATATCAAGAAACAGGTTAAATTCATTCATGATTAAAACAAAACACTTAGCAAACCAAGAATAAAAGAAAACTTTGTCAGAGTACTACAGCAAGCATCACACTTGGTGGTAAATATTGAAACCCTTCCCTCTGAGATCAAGAATGAGACAAGGGAGAAGGTACTGGAGGGCTTCTGAGACGATGGCAATGTTCTACTCCTTAACCTGGATGGTAGTTACATAGGTGCTTGCTTTTTAATAATTTGCTAAGGTGAACATTTGTATTTTACACACTTTTCTGTATGTATATTTCACATTTTACAAAAGGTTTTTTCCCCCCCATGGGAAAGACTAATTAAGATATAGTTATGCTTATTTGCAAGGCAGAAAGAGAGACACAGATGTAGAGAACAAACTTATCGATACCAAGGGGGGGAAACAGGGGTAGGATGAATTGGGAGATCGGGACATATATACACTACTATGTATAAAATAGATAACAAAAACCTATTGTATAGCACAGGGAACTCTACTCAGTGCTCTGTGGTGGTGACCTAAACGGGAAGGAAATCTAAAAGAGAGGGGATATATGTATACGCATAACTGATTCGCTTTGCTGTACAGCAGAAACTAACACAACATTGTAAAGCAACTATACTCCAATGAAAATTAATTTTAAAAAAGTATTGTTACAGTCTAAACTGCATCCCTCCACCAAATTCATATGTTGAAGTGCTAACCCCCAGCTCTTCAGAATACTGTATTTAAAGGCAGGATCTCTAAATAAGTAATTAAGTTAAAAATGAGGTCATTAGCCCTAATCCAATATTACTCATGTCCTTATAAGCAGAAATTTGGACACAGGTCAGAGGGAAGATGATGTGAAGACAAAGGGAGAAGACGGCCACCTGCAGAGAGGTCACAGAGAAACCCACCCTGCTGACACCTTGATCTTGGACTTCCAGCCTCCAGAACTGTGAGAAAATTAATTTCTGCTGTCTAAGCTGCCCAGTCTGTGGTACTTCGTCAAGGTAGCCCTAGCAAACTAATACAAATTTCTTTAGACATAAAAAAAACTAATAAAGTCTACAACCCACAGACTCTTGATACGTTAAAGAAGTTTAACCTCAGTGAGGAAAGGTGTGAATAAAAGAAACAACAATGAGCATAGGAACTGATCAAGCATATTGATAAATTTAGTAAACAACTGATAGTTTTTTTAAAAAACCTAACTTTCTATGTTTAAAAATGTAAAGCCAAAATACTAGATAACGATAATGATGGGAAAGGCATCCTAAAATCCCTGTCACGCTCCAGAGATGCTTAGAAATACTGGATAACTGTATTACTTTACTGGGGGAAAAAAAGAGTTAAGCTAAGGAATAAAGCCTTGAGAAGACCCAAATACAAAAGGAGAGTAAAGACTAATGAGAGTAATAGAAGGCAAGCTAAAAACATGCAGTGTTTTATGCAAGAGGGGCTTAATTTGAAGGAGGTATTAGTCAACTATATTAAATACTTCAGAGAAAATGAGAAAAATAAAGTTTGAAAAAAGCCATTGGATTGGTTAATTAGCTGGTCATCTGTGAACTGACTTTCACAGAATGACAGGGAGAAGCCTAATTCTAAGCAGTTAAGAACTAAGAAGGTGAATAGAGAACAGACTTGTGGTTGCCAAGGGGGAGTGGGTTGGGGGAGGGATGGAGTGGGATGGTGGGGTTAGCAGATGTAAGTTATTATACACGGACTGGATAAACACCAAGGTACTACTCTATAGCACAGAGAACTGTATTCAGTATCCTATGATAAACCATGATGGTAAAGAATTTAAAAGAAGAATGTATATATATATGTATAACTGAATCACTCTGCTGTACAGCAGAAATTAACACAACATTGTAAATCAACTCTACTTCAATGAAAACAAAAAAAAAAAAGAATTAAGGAATTCTCTGGCGGTCCAGTGGTTAGGACTCCGCACTTTTTCACTGTGTGGGCCCGGGTTCAATCCCTGGTCCGGAACTAAGATCCTGTAAGCCGCATGGCGCGGCCAAAAAAAAAAAGAACTAAATAGGTGACAAGGGGAGTGTCTGAACTGAGCAGAGACTAGGAAAAGATGGCAGTGTCTAATATCAAGGCTACAGTTAAGGCTTTTCATAGGCAACAAAGTTTTACATGACTTCATCAATAGAAATGAATGAGGAAGGATGGAAATAAAGGTTCTAAAGCAAAAAGAAGAGAAGCTCAAAGTTCACATTACTGTTTGTATCAACAGGATACTGAAAAAGTCCATTGGAAAGCCCAGAGTGTCCCTGTGCACGCAGAGGCTGGGATGGAGAATGGAGATGTGGAAAAACAGCACTAAAGGGAGCATTCCACAAAGGGAGATGAATCAAAACGCCTGTCAAGCAGCTGAGTTTTGACTATGACCCCCACAAAGTCATGCTATTGGCAACTAGGCTATTTTCTCCAATAATGATCAGCAGATCCAGGGATAGGGTTTAGCAATGCAGAAATGATGGAAGACCAGGAGGTGATGCAGAATAGTGAAATCAGCTGCAAAGTCAGGGCCTCCTGCCAAATCCCTGTGGTCACTGATTTCTCCTTGAGAAATCCTTCAGATAATCTCACACTTCCTCCAAACAAAGCCACATCTAAACCTGGTGGAGATCTTGTTAAGAAACAGATTCTGATTGAGTAAATCTGAGGTGGGCCTGAGATTCTGCATTTCTAACAAGCTCCTAGTGATGGCAGAGACACTGGCCCACAGACCACACTCTGAGTAGCAAAATATTAAGGAAAAGTAACCATCCTATGTTGGTGTAATTCAGTGGTGGCACGTGTTATTCTACCATTTGTCAGTAATAGTCTCTCTCCCTTAGTTCTATTTTTTTAAAATTTTTTCATCTATGTGTCTTTGACACTAATAATGTAAAAATTATTATATAATAATAGTAACTAGTATTTGATTACTATGTGCGAAAACCTGTTACGTGCATTCATTCATTTAGTCCTCACAAGAACTCTTAGAAGTAGTACTATTATTATCTTCATTTTATAGATTAGAAAAACAAGTAACTTGCCCAAGACCACTCAGCTATTAGGTGGTCAAACCCAGACTGGCTCTACCTAAAACTGCCTCTCCAGGGCAAGATACTAGTGGCATCTTCTGAGAAGATGGAGAGGAGGAACTGCGGGATCCCCACCTCCACAAAGCAGGAAATACGGAGAGTGGACTTTAACAGGAGTTACTAGACTGTACAGCTACCAACAAAGACAGAGATCTCCAAGGAGACTGCCAGCCACTGAGTGGAAATCGGCACAAAGGAGACACACCTGATTTCAATGAATTTACACGTGAAATGAGTAAGACAAAGCTAACTTGGGTATTAGAGTCAACTTCTGTATTAACCTAGAAGTAGCCTGGCATAAAAGTCAGGGTCTTGCAAGTTAGTTCGTGTGCGTTGTGCAGTTTCCTAGAACCGTGGTTCTCAAACTTGAAAATATGCATTTCTAAAGGTTCCTCGATGACTACGATGATGATGCCAGTAATGGTGATAAGCTAGTCTGGGGACCACACCTTCATAACCACCATCATAGTGAAAATCGTCATTGTTTTTCACCACCCACTCATAAATATGCATCTCTATTAACATTCAAATTAATTTGGAGTTTTTGAAAACAACTACAAACAAATCCGAGCCATTCTGCTGACGGTATTTGTTCAGATTGTACCTAAAGTTTTCAGAGATAACTGAAGCCAACAAAAGTCAACGTTCGCTCGCGTCTCGCTTTGCCTTTCTTGCCCCTTTTCCCTAGGCCGCTCTATGAATGGCGTAAAGTAAGAGCAACCGCGTGGCACCCAGAGTTAAGACCGCCAACGGGCCGGGGAGATAAGGGGGGCAGGTTTCTCGCTCATCCCGGTCTGCGCCCCGCTCCTAAGTCCCCAGCAGGCCCGGGCGAGCTCGGCCCCCGCCAGCACAGAGGTCCCGGCCTCCCCTGCGTCGCCGCCCGCGGGACCCGCCCAGGCCGAACCGCAGCCTCGCCTGCCGCACAAACACACCCGACCGGGCGGACTCACGTCTCTGGTCGCCAGCTTACCGCTCCGGGAAGACAAACACCTACCCGAGAGGCTGGAGAAGATGGCGAGCCGCCCCCCGAGCCGCCGAGCACTTCAGCGTAGTCCTACCTTTCGCTCGGCCTCATCGACTCGCTCGGCCTGCATCTGTACGGCCTTCCCGGGGGCGCAGCTGATTGGCCTGCCGAGGGGGCGGGGCCGGCCCCCGTCGGCTTGTTTTAGGCAAGAGTTTTTTTTTACGCTCGTCAGCCGAACTCTGCAAGGGAAGGCTTACATGGAAGCCAAATATATAAAACGGATACGAAGCGTATTTTCTTAGTATCGATTTATTTTATAAGTTCTGGAATGTGTAACATTTGCAGTAAAACCCGGGAATCTATTTTGAGTATAATTTTTTAAATGGGGCATAATGAATGACAAACTAGTTCTAAAGTATTGGGTACTGGGGAGGGGTGGGGGAGTGCACGCTATGTGGTAGTTGGAAATAGTAAGTTTTCTTTTCATTTTATCCCTTACTGGCCTTGCAAGCTCAGTAAAATTCTCCAAAGAGGAAATAATGAGTTTTACACACTTGGAAGAAATGAGAGGTGTACGCAGAAGTTATTGGCAGCAAGTTTAAAAGTGAGTTAAAATTTGGTATATCATATAGTACACTTGAGTGTGCGTGTTGCTTATCACAATTTTTTTAAATTAAAATACACTGGACAGGGACTTCCCTGGTGGTCCAGTGGGTAAGACTCCGCGCTCCCAATGCAGGGGGGCCAGATTGGATCTCTGGTCGGGGAACTAGATCCGCATGCGTGCTGCAACTGAGAGTCAGCATGCTGCAACTAAGAAAGTCCGCAGGCCATAGCTAAAAGATCCCGCATGCCACAACTAAGACCCAGAGCAACCAAAATAAATAAATATTTTTTTAAAAAATACACCTGACATAAAATTTACCATCTTAACCATTTTTAAGTGTACAGATGTGTCATTAAGTACATTCATACTTGTGCAACCATCACCACCATCCATCTCCATGAATCTTTTCGTCCTGCAAAACTGAAACTCTGTACACCTTAAACAGTTCATTTCCTCCCCAGCCACCTGCAATCACCAAAGATACTCTATAACTTCGTATCTCTATAACTCTGACTGCTCTAGGGTACCTCATACAAGTGGAATCATACAATATTTGTCTTTTTGTGATTGGCTTATTTCACTTAACATAATATCCTCAAGGATCATCCATGTTGTAACATATATCAAAATTTCCTTCCTTTTTAAAGGCTGAATAATATTCCATTGTATTGTATACCACAGTTTATCCATTTATCTGTTGGACTCCAGTTTCTTGTACATTTTGGCTCTTGTGAGTAATGCTGCTATGAACATCAGTGTACAATATCTTTTTGCGACACTGATTTCAATTCTTTTGAGCATATATACCTAGAAGTGGGATTGCTGGATCAAACGGTAATTCTATTTTTAGCTTTTTGAGGGACCACCATACTGTCTTCCAGAGTGGCTGCACCATTTTTTATTCCCACCAACAATGCACAAGAGTTCCAATTTCTCCACATGCATGCCAACACTTAGTTCTTTTGATAGCGGCCATCCTATTGGGTGTGCAGTGGTTTTCAACTGCATTTCCCTAATGATTAATGATATTAAGTATCTTTTCATGTGCTTATTGGCCATTTGTCTATCTTCTTTGGAGAAATGTCTATTCAAGTCCTTTGCCCATTTTTTAATCAGACTTTTTTTTTTGGTGGTTGTTGAGCTGTAGGAGTTCTTTATATATTCTGGATATTAATCCTTTATCAGACATGATTTGCAAGTATTTTCTCTGATTTCATGGGTTGCCCTTTCACTGTTATGTCCTTTGGCTTATCACAATTTTTAAAAAATAATTAAACATTAAAAAAATGAAATTTGGGGAATTCCCAGGCTGTCCAGTGGTTAGGACTTGGCATTTTCACTGCCGTGGCCTGGGTTCAATCCTTGGTCAGGGAACTAAGATCCTGAAAGCTGAGCAGCATGGCCAAAAAAATTAAAAATAATTTTTTTTTTAAAAGTGAAATTTGAATCAGACCTCTGAAGCTTCTGCCAGGGAGAAGTCAGGAACTTCTACACCACCCTCCCATCCCCAGTCTCCTTCCCTGAACCCCCAACAGAGGATTCAGAGACTATAGATACTTCAGTTCTCGTATTTTCTCTTTCACATGAACCTCCAAGAATCTATTCACCTCCATGCAGAAGACAGTGTGGAGGCACAGGAAAAAGGACATATGTAACCAGACAGTTACTGAAATAAGTAAGATAATTTCTAGTGCTTATATCTAATGCACTGCAAAGTACAAACACCCAACATATGGGAGGATCTTAAAGTTTTCTCCTTGACAGTGATGGAGGTAGAATACATAATTTTATGAACACTTTTTACCATGAAGTTGATCTGGTCTACATCAAGAAATTGCCCTTTTTTTCTAGTTTTAAATTAACACTAATGGCCTGCTATAATATCTAAAATGTGTAAAACTAAGTATGAAAGTAAACTAAAGGAGACTGTGGCCTGATTTTAGCAGAATTCCCTTCTGCATGCCTGAGAGGTAGGAAAATTGTACTGCTGAATATCCACAAGCTAATCGTATTTTATTTCTAAAGTACTCAATTCAATGTATTTGTAGTCAAAGTTAGAATTTATATATTTTGCCCAGCTTTTATTAATTAACTTTTACAATATGTTCAGTATATATAGTCCTCTAGATAGTGAATAAAAGAGAAGACACACAAAAGTAAGACAGTTGCGAAGGATTGAAAAGTAAGTTACTATGAGAAATTTAAAAAGAAACTTGTGATTGTGGGGTTCATCCACTGGACCACACTACTGCCAAGTAAACTGGAAAAAACAACACTCTAAACTGAAAACCACAGACACTGAGGAACAGGAATAATTTAAGGTGTCAAGAGGTCTTTATTGAAATAATAGCACAGTTACACTTCTAATACCCTTTCCACTTGTATACAATAGATTAAAAATGCTTGCTACATACAGTGCACAGACAGTTCAATAATTAGAATCAACTCAACTGCATTTGAAATAAATAAAATAGGCTATTTAATAATTTAAAGTAAAATTACTGTACAATATGAAAATAAAGATACATAAATGTTAGGATCTACAATACCATAGAAATAAAATCATTATTCTGCATTACACAAAACAGTGCAAGAAAAGAATCCAAATAAGCTTTTGGAGTGCAAAGTTTAAATTTTCCATTTTAAATTATCATGCAGACATAGCATTTCAAGCCATGCTATAGTCTATGGCAAATTTTTTAATTTTGAAAAGGAAAAATGCTAGCCGGTAAATTTACTGTACCATCAAGTGTTGCATCACATAACGCTGCTGCTCTGCCTACAGTACAGTTTAGAAGGGAGGTATCTTGTTGCACCCAAAAAAATGGAAATTAACAAGTTTATGAAGCAAACACATTTACCTTTTAAGCCTGAAACAAAATAATGTGACAAAAGAGTAATTCTATCCCTGGGTTTAAGAAAAAAGAAAAGGCCTATACCACATAATGAACTAAGAAGTAGTTTTCCACCCATTTTTAAACTCCATAGTGATCCTTAGTTAAAACAACAATGTAACTCTGGGGAGACATATAAAATTCTGATCTCTAGCTGACAAGTGATACAATATCATGGGATTGTGAGAAAAGCAAAAGTAATTTCTGAATATCTATGTTTAATCTGTGTAGAACTTGGTTGCATTACATGTAATAATACGCTTAAAGTATAGTTCAGTTTCAATGTGTATATAAAACTGTCATTTAGGCGAAGACCAAGGAATGCATTTAATACTAAACTGTAAACACATCGGCCACCTTGACTTAGAGTGCACACTGACAACATAAGAGCTCTTCCGCAGACTTTGGCAACAAGACTACGTACAGCAGGTCACAGCAGCACGAGCTCACATGGAAGACTGAAAGCACTGCAGAATAACACCACCCAACAGCTCCTATCACAGGGATACGTGGTAATAAGGGGCCTCCTTGTGCTAAGCCACCTTCCAGGTCAGTCCATGTTCTTCAAATTTGTAATGTTCACAACTCAGTAGTCTTAAGTCTGTGCCCTCACTGCATAGACTGACATTGGCTGTACTCTATCCACTGTATGTCCAGAGGGTTACAGTTCTGTCTGCAGAGGACGACAGGAAGGAAAGATCCTGGGTGTGCCACCTGCACTGAATGACTTTGTCCTTGTGTTCCCCCACCACCATGATAGGAAGCTGTTTAGTGAGGTCTCCTAAATTAAAGAAAAGAGATTTGACTTACAGTACAAAATATGTATAGATTTCATAGACTTCCTATTACTTTAAGACATTACAGTATGTAAAAGCCTAATACATTAATATAGTACATTGAAAAGTTTAAACAGTTTAAATTACTGAAGACCTAATTATGTGAGCAGTATTTGGTAACATATACACAGCAACATGACACGGCTGCCACTCTCTCCTTGAAACTCTCTCCCCTTGATATCCCCCTGACTTCAGTGCCACCACACCTCAGCCTTCTTTGATGTTTGTCCTCTTCTTCCCGAGTTAAAGTTTGGTGAATCCCAATAGTCAGCCTTCAAATTTCTTGTTCCCTTTATACCTCATCTCCTGTGAAATTTCACCTAGTACCATACTACCGCAGCCATTTATATACTTAAGATTCATGCGCATTTCATCTCCAACCTTGACTTCTCACCTGAGCTCGACTAGTAGACAAACAACTATTTGACATTTCACTTGACTGCCTTGACAGTCAACTTAAGTATAACTTGTTTGAAACAAACTCTTGATTTTCTTGCCTAAACCTGTTCCTCTCCCTACCTGTCTTCCTCATCTCAATGGTACCATCTGCTTGCTCATGCCAAAAACCTAGGAATCAGCACTGATTCCTTTTTCCCTCACTCCCCAAACTTAACAGAAACAAACTAAAATACATCAGTAATTCAGTCACTTCTTACTACCTCTGCCTTTACAACCCTAGTCCAAGCCACCATCATCTTCCACCTGAATTGGTCCAATTGCCTCCTCGCAGATATTTATACTTTCACACTCTCCCTATAATTCAAAATTATTTTTTAAATTTACAGACCATATCACTCCCTATTTTAAATCTTCCGAA